GAGGGTTGCGATCCGTTGCCGGACATGAAAAAAAGACAAAAAGGAAAAAAAAAAAAAAAGGTTGTATGAATCTTTCCATGAGCTTTTTGAAATACCTTGTATAAATATGTATGTGTATATGTATATGCAGGACTATATATGTATATGTGCATATATATCTTAAAACAAAGTGTATCTCTGTGTGTTTGTGTGTGTGTGTGTGTGTGTGTTTTCCAGGGAATTAACATCAAGTTGTTTGTGGTGGTTACTTATAGATAAGGAGAGATAGAGGAATAGTCAAATGGGGACTTTTGCTTTGTGCCCTAAAGTTTTTAAATGTTTAAAAATATTCATATATTACATTGCTATTTCTCAGTGAAAACAAAGTTAATTAAAAATGGAAATAATTTATCCAGAACATTTCAGACCAATTTTGTACAACTCATTTTATTTTGGAAAATGTATGCCCAATTTTATTTGAAAGGATAATCAGGGTACCATTCTAGGCAATTTATTATTTCAGAATATTTTTATTTTGGAGTGAGATAATTGTAAAAGAATTTGGATTTTAGAGTGGTGGAACTGTATCATCATCATCTGATTCACCATCAGGGGATTGATGTGACTGGTCCCTATGGGGCTCTTGCTTTCTCCGCCATCCTTCTGTGCCTCCCCAAAGTAGAGGACGATCTATCTAGATAGAGAGAGGGCTAATCTAGAGTGTGTGGTTATCAGGTATCTGCTGACACCAGGTATTGATTCATATGTTATATCGTGTCTCATATCTCAAAGTTGATTCTAAGTTCCTAAGCGTGGGCAACCAGTGTTTTACTTCCTGTTTTACTGTGCATCTACTTTAGTGTCTTTAGAACATGGACTAAAGCAGGGGCTTATCAGATATTTCTTGAGTTAAATAAAGCATTGACTTATGCATTTTTTCTGTCTATGGAAAAAAAATCATTGAAGATAGAACCAGTTAGAAAATAGCATCTTANTTTTTTCTGTCTATGGAAAAAAAATCATTGAAGATAGAACCAGTTAGAAAATAGCATCTTAATATTTAAGATCTAGAGAAAAATACCCCCGTCCCATTAATTTCCCTTTATGTACAGTGAATGATGTTTAATTATGTTCTTAGCTACCTAATTAGCTTTTAGCCATTTTTTTTCCTTTTTAATATTTTTTTCAACAGAGGGGCCAATAGATTAATTCACATCGAAGTGCAAGGTGTAATGCATAACTCCTCCCCCCGCTCCCCAGTGCATTTGCATTTAATAGGGAGGAAGTTGCATGACACAGTTATAGATGGGAGGGAGGCAGGTTGTCTTTGGAGATATGGTTTAGCAATTGCTTACTGTCTACTTGACCCCGAGCAAGTTATTTAATGTCTGTAAACATTGGTGTCTTCATCTGCAAGATAGTTCTTACGGTGGATATTGTGAGGAATGGTAAGCGATGAAAAAGTCTCAGGAACCCAGTGCCTGGTACTTGGAGGGCACCCAGTACATTTTGGCTGCCCTCACTTTAGATGCTGTTGCTTCCCTTTTCTATTAGTGTTAATGGCCTGGTGACGGACCAGGTGCAGAAATGCTTGTGAAGGTTGGCCTTCTGGTGTCCTGAGATTGGAACTCGGAGTGTGCATCTGTTCTTACATTGTAGCTCTGGTATCTCTGAAAATGGATTGCAGCAAGGGTGTACAGGGGACTAGCATGCAGAAAAGTGTGTGTGTGGACGGGTGGGCAGGGGAGGTCTTACTTGCTGATGCATCTGCTAAGTGACAATTCACTTTGGCAAACTTTGGAAACATACCATATAATTAGAAAACAATCCAGAATATCTCAGAGAGGCAACCTTAACTAAGATAGCAACCTACAACCACAAGTGTCCTGTTGTTCTCTGTGATTTGAATGTCTTTGTTTTTCTTCGTATCTCTTATCATCATCTGAAATTATCTTGTTGGATTTATTCCTTTGATTTCAGTTTATATTCTATTTATTCCTACTAGAATATAAACTCCTTAAAGGTGGATATTTTACAAGGCTTTTAAACGGGTATATCTTCATTCCTAGAAAATGTTTGGTGTATAGTAGGTATTCTACTAAACCATTATCAAATACGTCTATGAATGAAAAAATTCAGGACCAACCTATCAAATCTGAAATGTATCGTTTGTGTATGAATCATCATTTGCCACCAGGAGTTTGAGAATATTCTCAACAGTTTATGGGAGACTTCACTTTCTTGGAAATTCATTCAGACTTAGTTATCTTTTCAACAGCTATTAAATTCTTTAGTGCACAATATTTGCAACTTCATTTACATCATTTGGTACATATTTATTAAGTGCTGTAATGTGTACTGAGAAATAAAAACAAATAAGACATTTCCTGTCCTTAAAAGCTCATGTGTATTTTGAAAATACTGTTATATTTGGAGTGCTCTCAACTATTATATTCTGACAATTTTACAAAAGCATTCCTTGGTTTTTTGCTTATATGAAAACAAATAAGACATTTCCTGTCCTTAAAAGCTCATGTGTATTTTGAAAATACTGTTATATTTGGAATGCTCTCAACTATTATATTCTGACAATTTTACAAAAGCATTCCTTGGTTTTTTGCTTATATGCCTGGTCAATTTTTGTAATTATCAATACATTCAATCATTGTAATACTAGAAATTAGAAATTCGTATTTGAAATTCAGTTCAAAGATTAGTTTTCAAGAAATTTGCTAAGGAATCAAATATGTAAACTGGATAAGGTAAAAGTCAGATTTATTTTAAAAAAGCAGTTTCTGTTATTGTTTCATTTCTTGAAGTTCTCAGCAACAATGAAACATTTAAAAATAAATTGTTAAAGCTATCTAAATGATCTCATTGGTATAGGTAGTATTCTACTTGAGATACACTAGTGGTTTTAGGTTGAAAGTTGTTCCTTAATGTAAAAAAGATGAGTTTCTCTTTGAAGTATACCCTGGAGAATGTGAGTGTGTAACTCCTGCTATTACTGCGGTGTTTGAATGTATTGATCTAAATTCATAATAGCGAGCTATATTGCAGGGAGGATGCATTTGACTTCTGTATATTGAAACAACCTATCTATTTGTATGAAATGAACTTTATTGTATAAGATTTATGGTAGCTGTATGTTTTTGAGACATTATTTTTAATTTAATACTCTTACTTCTATGACTTCTCTCTAGAAAACCTGGTATTGCTTTAGTCATTTATTTCCTGTTATATTTTTTATTTAAAAAATATAATAATCTTAGTATTAAATAAAATGGTAGTTAATACCAGCTACAGTTTATTAGACACAGAATATTATTTTGTTCTGACAGAAAATTTTTATTGAGACATTCTCCAGTATTTTTCCTCTTAGTGGTATAGCAGCGATAGGATAAACAATACTGTTAAATTTATATTGATGACAAATACTCTACCTTGTGGAAGCACTACGCCTTTCCATAGTTTTACAAAAAGTTCCAGCTTTCACAGAATTATTTTAACCCTAACCTTTACTTAACATTCAGCTAAGACATTGATTTCTGTGTAGAACTGGCAACAGCACATTCCTACAGTCTACAGATTAGTGAGGAATACAAGACAGGGATCAGCATCACTAGAATTATCAGTAGTTTAGTTCTGAGAAATAATATTCAGGGGTGAATTTATCAGGTTCATTGATATTAACTTCTAAGATAATTTCTTCCTTTTTTTTTTTTTTGTCTTTTTTCGTGTCCGACAACGGATTGCAACCCTCAGTGTCGTGCCCGTACCGGACCGGGACCGGCAACAGGATTGCAACCCTCGGT